TTATACGTCAACTTGAATCAACAATTTTACGATTTAATTTAGTTCATGGGTGATTTCAAGGTGTGTTGCTTCTCGAGTCGAAGAAAGCAGGTCTACTTTTAGATGCAGGCACGCAGACATCGCGTGGGCGTAAGCCAACGTCAATTACAAGGATCAAAAAGGCAGGGACTTGTATGTGAATTAGCGCTCTTGTCGTAGCATTGATGTATCCAGATCCTGCGGACCAGTCTCACAAGGGCATGCGGAGTCAAAGCATAGAGCTTAGCTCGGGTACACGGTAGGTAGGCAGGTAGGTTTATTTCCGGGGAGGTCCGCGTGCGAAAGGCCAGTTTCCGTACAATATACAACACGGAGCCGCATTCCCTGGGTTTGCATCCAAATTTATATCGCTTCAATCTCTCCAGCACATACTAGTACTCTCCCGCTTCAAGCCATGGCACGGGGTGCTTCTTGGGCGCTGCTTATTGCGAGTACCGTGGGCTGTCGAGCACGTATGCCTGACCGTCCCTCTTCGTCTCTGCCGGAGTACACAAATTAAAACTAAAGAAATTTCTCGTGCCGCCAGCGACCGCGCTCTCGAGGCCACCTACCCCGCTGCAAAGTAAGGGAGCGTGTTACTTCTAACACCCCAATGGGTCCGAGTAGTCCTGTAGGCGGCCACAACACCCCTTTCACAAGTTGGATTTCGTGGACTTCATGAACACACGGTATTTCGCCGAGATCAGCCTTGGCACCCCCACAAACTGTATTCTTGCATTCTCTCCGTCCCTATTATCATATCTAGGCAGAATTCTCATTCATGCTTCCCCACTTGCTGAGTCTACACGATACCTCTTGGACGTTTTTGCTTACACAGTCGAGTAAGTACTGTCAAACTTCTCTCTGGGATCACAATGGCCTGTTATTCCGGTCCTCGGACGCCATCGTGTGGATTTACCATTTTAGCACAACGTGATGCACGAAGCGGCCACAGAGCTCAATGTACTACTTATAATCACAAACGCGATGGACCATGGCCACAAACTCTGATTGAAAATCCACTTTCCCACTTTCTGTCGATATTCAATGTCAGTGCCTTGCAAATCGTTGAGCCTCGAAAGCAAAACCCACACATATCAAAAATCAAGCTCCAGTTTGTTCGTACTAGAGAGTAACGGTAGTGCTTGATGGAAATTTGTACGGAGAGCGCTGTTGTCTTCTTCCAAATCCATTGCAATCAACTTTAGTGACAGCTTTCTGAATTTGGTATAACGTGGGAGGGCAAGGGCGGCATCAACTCGTTCCCAAGTATTAAACATTGCCGCTGAACGTGCCGTCCGTAGAAAGAGAACTAGTGAGACTGCCTGGAGTGCGCGGGGGCGTAATGAGCTGCCGCTTTCCAGGATGTGAACGAGGTACCCTAGGGGAAGCTCACTGGCGTCCTGATCCAATCCATAGATTGCAAAGTACATGCTCTTTAGATGTGGAAGGTTCAAGATGCGACGGTCAACACCGTCCACTGTCAAGTCATGTTCAGAGGACGAGCCGAATATAAAATAGTGATTGCCTTACCATCCAGTTTTGCAGGTTGATCTTGTCCCGAAAACTCAAACGTTTCAAGAGACATGCGTGCTTCAGCTAGGAGCGGTGCAATGAATGGTAACGGTACGTTGGTAACAACGAGCTTCTTCAGTAGATGCCAGGATGAGAGTGTGAGAGATTCGACGATGAATCTGGAACAGTCTTCGACTTCCAGATGCTCTAGGCAGCATGAGGAACGGCACTGGGCGTCAGGTAAATATGCTCTGACGTTGGGCAGATTGTGTTGGAGATCAAGACTATCCGGCGGCGTGCTCAATCTCAACTCCTTCAGCTGGGTACACGACCTGATAAACCACATTGGAGGTACAATCCGGTTGCACTGGATGGAGGGGACTGTGAGAAGCCGAGAAAATAGTGCAGCCGTCAGGCTTTTGGGAGCCCTGCGCAAGCGACGGCGGCTGACAGGATATTCGAGACCAAGATGCTGGAGGTCTGTCACCGAGTTAAGGATGGTGGCGAGCTGCTCGCAGTCGTCGAAGACTGCCTGGATGTTCAATCGCTTAATGTAAGCCGTCAGGTGCGGAGAGCCGACCAGAATGGATGCCAATTTAGGAGAGTCGCCGTGGCGTAGTGTTATGTCGAAGAAAAGGTATTGCTGGATACGGGGCAAATGCTCGCTGAAAGCAAGACCGTAGGCCGTCAGTGCCTGATTATCACGATGTGTCCCGCCACCGTCCTTCTCTTTATCTATGTCTATCAATATATCCAGAATGATGCTGAGAACATCGAAAGGCAGTTCAACTGGAGCCATAGTGAAGAGTAAGATAGGTCAATGTGAATCAGTAATGGGTGAAATTGGAGGAATGCAAGAGGAAACCTCAAGGTAGCCTCGAGGTGATACGATTTCGGATCAAGAATCATCACACCGAGTCGGACAATGGTCAATAAAGATGACAGAACAGGACACAGTTTGAGCGCAGTGGATGAAGGTAAAACTATCCTATCTAGGCGGATCAATTTTCTGAGACGCGGCTAAACGATGCCCATTCAAATTGCGTTTCAACTTTCCCAGCACCGCGACACCGCCTTTCTCAGCGATTCTACGAGACCCGTTGAAATCAGTTTCCTGAGTGTTACGTGAGCTGAAATCTTTCCGAGATGATGCAAAATGGGGCATAGAGAAAAAGCCGTGGGGCCGGGTAGAGCCGAGTAGAGCCGTGTAGAGCTGTGATATGATCGTGAAGTTTGTAGGGTTTTCCTTAACCTCTCGAACATTTTTCGTGAATTTTAGTTGCTAACTGATGGATCACTGCGATGCGTCCGAGGTGAGAATCAAAGTTTACTAGACGAGATGGAGTTTGAAAGGTAGGCTCGGATATCGAAACCGTGGTTGTCAGTGTCGAGCAGTGAGTGGCCGTGCCGATAGCAGTGGAAAGCCGTGTGGAAGCCGTGAGTGGCTGTGTTCAAGTGAGAAGCAATGTAAGGGCGTGATCGGGCAGTAAGACAATGGGTTTCTTTGATACTTTGCAAAGGACAGACTCGCCACATATTATATGGAACTATGTAGAGATGAATTCTAGTCATATTAAGCAATACTACGGGCTGGGGCTGCGAACAAGTTTCAAACGGTTCCATCACCAGCGCCACAACACAATCGTAATGACAATCATGTTTATCGACCTACCCAGCCAGTTGGGAGCCACAAGTTGAGTGGCTCGGGATATGGTCAATGCATTCACATTTGAAGGTAGCTTCTGCAGACGTCGGATATGGGTATGTAGCATATTGATATTGTGCACACTCCTGGCGGTACTATTCCAGATATTACTGTGTTAATCGTGATGAACTACGACCAGTATCAATTACGGCGCCCCTTACATTATACAGAGCCCCAGCACCCCGCGTGTGAACTCGTCTATGTCTCCAACCCCACTGCTACCTAGACGCTATGGAAGCTTTGAACAACAATCGACTTCGCAAACGTCAGCATCGCTGCCAAAAACTTCGCTCGCCGTACACATCCTATGTGGGCACAATGCCAAACATAAGAAAAATCTCAATATTCAACAATGAGATTTGTGATGATTATCTTGCGTATAGTTCCAGCAAGAGCGAAAAATTGTTCAGCGGAAAGGCAATTCAGAATTCAGAAATTTTATTAGGGTGGGTATCTATCATACAGTCAACATTACATTACGAGCGGCGGGAGCTTCCACAGGCTTAGTTGGTGCCCTTCTTCAGGACAGCGGCGACAATATCAAGGTTAATGCCCGCCCAAAGTTTGAAGATTTAATCTATCTGGGTACAGGCTTTTTCTTGGGGAAGCGCTTCGTGAAGTGTGATCTATGTGGTTTATACTCGCTGCGGGATAAGAATAACTTGACGGCTGATCTGTTGAGGCACCATACTGTCTTAAGGGTTGCATAAGCTCGTGAGGATGCCGAAGCACACGCATGCTTGATAGCTGCCCGAGCTGCTCGAGTGCAGACGAGGTAAATGTCACTACCAGGAATTCAATTATTTGGGCATTAGAAAGAGATGGGAGGAGCTCAAAGAAGAGATCGAGAAGAAAAGCAGGGGCATCGACTTAGCATGCACGTACATATATAGAGAGATATGGCAAGGTGAAGAATCGGCGTTTTGCTACGGCATCCCGTGCGTGGCCTGCAATAGGGCACGGTAGCGTTTGTCGGTTCCACCGCTTGGAAGGGAGTTGAATCACGACCTGAACATCCGCGGTATACTGAGACTGCGAAAGGTTTTCTGACAAGAGGTATTGCTGCCAGTTGCTCAAGTGGCACCTCGTTGAAGATCTCTCCCAGAATATCGTTAGGAACCTGCCCTCCATCAAATACAGGCATCATAGGATGTGATTTACTGCATAGGCTGATCACGGACACAGGGGCCAACTTACTTAATACTGAGGCAAATGTCATTAGTGAGAACGATACACCTCGATAGTCCTTACCTACACCGTGCGACATTTCAATACAACTTAACCAGACTTAACCGTCTGGATGATCCAGGACTTTGGGAGGAACGTAGTGTCAACGAAAAGATGAATTTGAAAAGGACGCAACGCCCACGGCTGCCCACCAAAATTAAAGCCAAAGTCTCACTTGAGTGGTAACTTCAATTATTTTAGCACCCTTAACCGCCTTTGGTCTCGAGAATGATAGGCAAACGATAGGAAGTTGGGCATGCTCAGGTGAGATTGCCTGAACGGCGGGAACAGCAGCGAACCAACACACGCCAATTGCCAAAGATAAAACCATACATCAATATGATATCATTCATAAAGGTGCAATACGAGCGGCGTACGGAATGAGGTGAGACCGTTGGCCAGATTCATGATTCGGCCCAAGTCTGAGTCGTATCCAGACGGTATCAAGGATGGAGAACAGAATTTTGGCATTACGAGCTACATCCATGTGGATGCGACCTGAAATCTGAGCTCAGGTTCAAAAAGTAATGCTGAATGATGACAGGGAGATTCGAACTCCCGCCCCGAAAGACCAGATAAGGAACTCTTCCGTGAGGAAGAAGACACCTGATTCTGGCGCCTTAGACCGCTCGGCCATGTCACCATGTAATGGGAGTGTTTTGCTCCTTCCGAATCCTGAAGGTGACACAAATCTGATACTCAAAACGAAAGCCCCGTCAGAAACCAATGATGGGGCTCGAACCCACAACCTTTGCCTAACGCGAATAGGAAAGCAATCACACCGGAAATAAACATGTTCAGGGAGGACTTAAACCTATACTTAAATTATTAGTTTAGACCTGAACTTAAGGACCTCTGAAATCTTTACTTAGATTATAAGTTTCACAACACCTGAAAACTGTCCTGAAATTTCTTCTTT